GGACGAAACTTGATTCCTTGATTCAAAAGAAGACACCAAGGAACAAAGCCCACCTTGTCAGACGACTGGTGAAATTGGAGTACTCTGATGGCCAAAACATGATCGAGCATTTGAATACCTTCAAAGGTATTGTGAATCAACTAACGAAAGCCGACATGAAGATAGATGATGAGTTGCAAACTCTTCTACTCCTAAGTTCTCTACCCGAGAGTTGGGACACTCTAGTCGTCACTCTCAGTAACTCTGCTCCAGATGGAAAACTTGTCATGGATTCTGTTACAGATTCCTTGCTAAGTGAAGAATCAAGACGGAGGGAAAGAGGCATCAACAACCAGTTCGAAGCAAATATTGTTGATAATAGAGGAAGGAGTAAGAATCGTGAAAGAGGAGGTCGTGGGAGATCACAAGCTAGATCAAAGTCTCGCTCTAAACTAAGTTGTTATTATTGTGGCAAGCCAGGCCATAGAAAGTTTGAGTGCAGATTCTTTAAGAGAGATCAGCAGGCTGGAACGATCCATTCTGATAAAATCGATCCAAAGAAGAAGGAAGATGGAACAACGACAACGGTCGTAGCAACTAACGAGAATCTCTTTCTTGTTGAAGAGGAAAACTATCTAAATGTAGCATCTGATGATTGCATTTGGATAATTGACTCAGGAGCATCCTTTCATGTAACCCCTCATGAAGAATTCTTCTCATCATATCAAAAAGGAGATTTTGGTATGGTGAAGATGGGCAATCAAGTCACAAGCAAGATTGTTGGTATTGGTGAGGTGACTATGGTTACAGAAAATGGTTATAAGCTCGTGTTGAAGGAGGTTAGACATGTTCCAGACATGCGTCTAAACCTTATCTCGACAGGAAAGTTTGATGATATTGGGATGATAAACCAATTTGGAGCCGGTAGATGGAAGCTCAGTAAGGGAAGCATGATCATTGCTCGTGGTAAAAAGGAAGGCTCTCTGTATATAATGCAGGGAAAGATAAACAAGGGAGATATCAATGTATCTCAAGACATGAGCAAAGAATTGTGGCACAAACGACTTGGCCACATAAGCGAGAAAGGTTTGGACATTCTTTCTAAGAATCATCTTCCAAACATCAAGGGTCAACTACTTGAATCCTGTGAAGATTGTATAGCAGGCAAACAACATAGAGTATCCTTTCAAAGATCAGATGATGCAAGAAGAAGAAAGCATATCCTAGATCTTGTTCATTCAGATGTTTGCTCTACATCTGAAAGGTCCCTTGGTGGTTCACAATACTTCGTTACCTTCATTGACGATCACTCTAGAAAAGTGTGGGTGTATCCATTGAAGACGAAAGATAAAGTTCTTCAAGTTTTCAAAGAATTTCATGCCTCTGTAGAACGGGCATCCGGAAGAAAACTGAAATGTTTAAGGACAGATAATGGTGGAGAGTATATAGGCCCATTTGCAGCCTACTGTAGATCTCATGGAATAAGACATGAGAAGGTACCTCCCAAGACTCCTCAAATGAATGGAGTAGCTGAAAGGATGAATAGAACGATTGCAGAAAAAGTCAGAAGTATGCTTTCTCATGCAAAACTTCCCAAATCATTTTGGGGTGAAGCAGTGAGAACTGCAATTGATTTGATTAATTTGTCTCCTTCAAAACCATTAAATGGAGAGATACCATATGAAGTATGGTATGGAAAGAAAGCCTTCTATGGTCATTTAAGAGTTTTTGGATGCAGGGCATTTGTTCATGTTCCAAAAGATGAAAGAGCAAAGCTAGATGCGAAGACGAAGGAGTGCATATACCTTGGTTCACCAAGAGATGAACTTGGCTTTAGATTATGGGATCATGCTACTAAAAAGCTTGTTCGAAGCAGAGATGTGGTATTCTATGAAGATCAAACAATTCACAACATTCAATCTAAGAAGCCAAAGACCATTGTGGTACACAACTCAGGGGGAAATATTCCTCAAATGAATTATGATCGTGATCAGCCAACACAACCCGATCAGATGAATTATCCTGATCAGATAGAACGAAATCAAGAAATACATGAAGAGAATATGGTAGATGATGATGTTGATGATGAGATGAATCAAGAACTTCAATTGAGAAGATCAACAAGATCCAGACAACCATCAAAAAGGTACTTCTCAGGTGATTATGTGAATTTCACTGATGAAGGAGAACCTCAAAGCTTCATGGAAGCCATTGAGACTGGTGACAAGGAGAAATGGATGCAAGCCATGCAAGAAGAATTACAGTCGCTGAAGGAAAACCAGACATATGACTTGGTAAAATTACCAAAGGGAAGAAGGGCGTTGAAAAACAAGTGGGTGTTCAAACTCAAGTCTGAAGAGAACAACCCAAATCCCAGATACAAAGCACGAATTGTCGTGAAAGGGTGCCATCAGAAGAAAGGCATAGACTTTGAAGAGATATTCTCACCGGTGGTAAAGATGACATCCATTAGAGCAATCCTTGGTCTAGCTACAAAACTAGACTTAGAGATAGAACAACTTGATGTTAAAACAGCATTCTTACACGGAGACCTAGAGGAAGAAATCTACATGGAGCAACCTGAAGGTTTTATTGAACCAGACAAAGAACACCTTGTGTGTCGCTTGAACAAAAGTCTATATGGCTTAAAGCAGGCTCCAAGACAATGGCACAAGAAGTTTGATCTCTTCATGACCCAACATAACTTCACAAAGACGTCAGCAGACCATTGCGTGTTTGTGAAGAACTATGAAAATGGAGGATCCATCATACTTTTGTTGTATGTTGATGATATGCTTATTGTTGGAAAAGACAAGGCAAAGATAACTGCTCTCAAGAAAGCATTGAGCAAATCTTTTTCTATGAAGGATCTGGGTGCAGTGAAGAAGATTCTTGGAATGAAGATCATTAGAGATCGTTCTAAAAGAATGTTGTGGATGTCACAAGAAGACTATATCAAGAAAGTCCTTGAAAGGTTCAACATGCATAATGCAAAACATGTGCATGTTCCGCTACTTGGACATTTGAAACTTAGTAAGACACAATGTCCAGAGAATGACCAAGAAAAAGAAGAAATGAGCAAGGTGCCCTATTCTTCAGCTGTGGGTAGCCTTATGTATGCAATGATTTGCACAAGACCAGACATTGCTTATGCGGTAGGAGCTGTGAGTAGATTCCTATCAAACCCAGGAAAGGAACACTGGAGTGCTGTGAAATGGATATTGAGGTATCTGAAAGGAACTGCCAAAAAGTGCTTATGTTTTGGAAATGAAAATCAAATGCTCACTGGATATGTGGATGCTGATATGGCCGGAGACGTAGATTCAAGAAAATCTACATCCGGATATTTGATTACTTTTGCAGGGGGAGCTGTCTCATGGCAATCGCGACTACAAAAGTGCATTACTTTAAGTACCACAGAAGCAGAGTACATCGCAATCACTAAAGGTTGTAAGGAGATGATGTGGATGAAGAAGTTCCTGCAAGAGTTAGGCCAGAATCAAGAAAGTTATGTTCTCTATTGTGATAGTCAAAGTGCAATTCACCTCAGCAAGAATTCGACATATCATTCAAGGTCAAAACACATTGATGTGAGGTATCATTGGATACGTGATGTGTTAGAGAATAAACTGCTGCAAATAGAGAAAATTCACACCAATGACAACGGGGCAGACATGATGACAAAACCTTTACCAAAAGAGAAGATAGAGTTCTGCAAACAAGCTGCTGGATTGGCGGCAACCCCAAACTAATCAAGGCATTCCCTTATGGCTGGAGGGGGAGAAATGTGGGGTCCAGCCATTGCCACATGGCCACCATACATTTGTCAAAATGGAAGGTTGCATGTGATGACAAGTAACAAGGTGTATGTTGTACACATGTTGTGGTGCATGAGTAACACATGTTGTGGTGCATGAGTAACACATGTTGTGATGCATGAGTAACACTTGGTGTGGTGCATGTATTGCAAGGGACACTTGGTGTTTTGCATGAAAGGAAAATGACAAGTGTCTTCATGCATGTAAGGCAACTTTGGCTTGCCTCTCCTATAAATAGGATCATAAGCAAGCCTTCACAACACACAACAAGAGAAGAACAACAAGTAGCAAGAGAGAAAGAGAGCCTTGTTCAAGAGAGAAAATCCTCATAGAGAGTTTCTTGTGAGAGAAATAGTGAGCCAATTTGTGAGAGTGTTTCTTACAAATTGAGAGATACATTGTAGTGAGATCCACCTAAGGGTGAAGTTGTTGTATTCCCATTATCATTATAGTGGATGTTTTAAGAGGCCCAAGGGTCCCGTGGTTTTTCCCTTCTTCACATTGAGAAGGTTTTCCACGCTAAAATTCTCTTTGTGTCATTACGCTTCTATTTCACGTTTCCGCAAAGTGCCTATTTTGAGTTCACAGAAGAGGGAAATTATGCAGGCATTTCCCAACAAATACGAATAGCAAAAATGAAAGTCTGACCCGATTTCATTCTTTTCTATACAAATATAAACATTTGATTTCTATAAAATTATGTATTAAAAAAATGGTAGCCCATATCTACTCCATCACACTCGAGTGTTTTGATATTTTAAAAATAACATGGTTTTTGGTTTCTTCATGAAAACAGAGTTAGATTGTTGAATTGTGAACTTAGAAAGTAATCCATCTTTGTACAAATAAATGAACATTTCGTTGCGGTTGATTAATTTCAAATTTCCGCAGTTTTGATGAAATGACGACAAATACTACAATGTACATACACACGTGCCATGGATGTGTAGCATGTGACTATGTGTGATCTCAAGAGGTGGTGCCTTGTTTTATTTACATAACAAAAGCATGACATCCAAACTCCCCAACCCAACCTTGCTTTCCCACAAAACCTGCCTTCCATCCTCATTATCGTTTCATGGTCCCCACTCACACCTGTCGCATTATCTCTTACAAAACCATCCTCATCCCTTCCACTTTTTTCACCTCTCACCTCAAAAACTCATGCATGAGATGAGACATAGCATCATTTGATCATCAATCATGGATAGCACTGATTCATCTTCTTGTTCTCACCACCCTCACCTCCCACCAGGCTTTCGTTTCCACCCTACCGATGAAGAGCTCGTCGTTCATTACCTCAAGAGAAAAGCTGCTTCTGCGCCTCTTCCTGTTGCCATCATAGCAGAGATTGATCTCTACAAATTCGACCCATGGGAGCTACCAAGTGAGAAACTTTTTCACAACGCTTTTCATATTTTCATCCATTTACACAAACCCGCTTCCTAATTCTTATTTCTGTTACCTCTTTTGCATGTGAAATTTTCTGTGTTTTTTTTAGGTAAAGCAACTTTTGGGGAACAAGAGTGGTACTTTTTCAGTCCTAGAGATAGGAAATACCCAAATGGGGCAAGGCCTAATAGGGCTGCTACATCTGGGTATTGGAAAGCTACTGGAACTGATAAGCCTATATTAACATGCGATGGACATGTGAAAGTTGGAGTTAAGAAAGCACTTGTTTTTTATGGAGGGAAGCCACCAAAAGGAGTTAAAACTAATTGGATTATGCATGAATATAGGTTGATCACTGATCACAATAACAATAACAGCTCCTATAATGCACCATCAAAAACTACTTCTATGGCTATTATAGATCATCCTCCAAACAATAATAAGAAGAATTCTCTCAGGGTATGCATAGTCATTTTTTACTTGTTTTTGCCCTCTTAAAAAGAAGAGCTTGGTGTAATTTCCCTTAAATCATATGCATGTTCATTAAACTATGTTCTTTTATTGCATTGGTTTTGTAGCTTGATGATTGGGTTTTGTGTCGAATATACAAGAAAAGCAACAGTAGCACTATGCCAAGGCCACCTCTAATGGATCAATACGATAAAGATCTGTCAATGGAACAAACATATGCCATGCAACATAACTCTAAACCTCCATCTTCAAGAAGCACAAGTTATGGACTTGAAAATGATGACAATTTCTTTGATGGAATTTTAGCATCTCAACATCATCATCAAGGAATGGAAAGTTGTGACATGAACTCAAAGGGTGATGATAATAATAACAATAATAGTGATACGTTCTCTATGAAACGTGCACTAAATGGATCATCATCATCACAGTTTTGGAATGAAACAGGTTCACCAGGGTCATCTTCTTCAAGTAAGCGATTCCATGGAGATCTTAATAGTGGAATAAGCAGTAATGCTGAGGAAAATAATTCATTTGTTTCTTTGCTTAGCCAGCTTCCACCAAATGCAACGTTTCATCAAAACTCTATTCTTGAAGATGGTGTAATGAGGCAACAATTTCAACTTCCAGATATAAATTGGAACTAATTTAATCATAGGCTTATAGCATGGTTAATTTGGTTTAGCATGTTAATTAATAATTGATGCATGCTAATTTTACTATTTTTACATTTTTACATTCTAATGTAATCGTTGATATATACAAAAAGGAAAAAAGAAGCCTATATGTATTAGAGAAAATTTACTTTTTATATTAATTAAATATAGAGTAAAGAAATTTATGTTAATTTTATTTGTAAAAATTTAATTATCTGTTATTATAAAAAATGGAAGATAAGATGATAACAATACATTAAATTCTTAAGGAAAACGTGATTTTAATGGTTTCTTTTCTGAAATTAAAATTTTGTAGCTACCAAATTTGATGACTGGACATTGCAAAAAAAAAAATGTAAGAGAAACGTATAGGTTTAGTATTAATTTGTTTGGTAGAGCTTTTCAAATTAAATTAGGATTGAAAAAGGGACATGTATGTTCAGTTTCATACGTTAATGTATACTAGTTATTATCAAAACTTGGATGTATTTGTATGAGATTTAAAGTGATGATGATCATATCACTTTTAGAATGCGAAACTGTCTCATACTGGAAAAAATAAGTTGTTTTTCTTGGGTCCAAAGAAGATGATGGTATCTAATACTGGAAGCCCTTTGGTTAGGGTCCATTCCCATAAAGTCTAAACTTTTTTTTTTTTTTTGGTATGTTCTCTAATTCTATTAAGTCTAATGGGTTGGTGGGAAATATCAATTTGATGGTTAATGAGGATCTGATTTAGGATTTTAGGTGGTATAGGTCTTTTTTTTTCTTAGAAGGTTATTTTTGTTTGAGGACCTTTTCTCTATTTTAAATGTTTTTTTTTTTGGATAAAGATAATGTTGAATTGTAATTTTTTGTGTCGAAGCAGGTTGTTCGACACAGGCTAGGAAATGTTGAAACGTTTATGTTAAAATGTCAAAGCACGTGGCTCGATAGAGATTTCAACCTATGTTTATTGTGTTTGTTTTAATTGAGTTAGTTAGGTTAGTTAGGGTTCTCTTGTGTGCAAGCAACTTCAACCTATAAATAGGGAGGAACTCTATTATTGTAAGGAGATGAAAAGTGAATGCAGTTGTATTTTGAATAAAACTTCCGTTTGAAGTGCTGAGGAAAACTCTACAAAAATATTCATCATCGTCCCCTTTTCTCTAAAAATCCTAATTGCTTTCTTCCACAATTTATATTTTCCTTTCCTCTTTTATTATCAATTCTGCAGCAAAATTCTCCATAGATTTTTCGTGAATTTCCAACATTTGGTATATAGAGTACGGGCTATGTGATTCTTGGGAAACATAGCGCAATGAATCATCGGAATGAGTATTTCCCGGTAAATCTCCCAATTCTGAAGATTCAGAATTATGAGAACTGATGTAAGCAGATGAAGATAGTTTTTTGTTATCAAGATCTTTGGGATCTTGTGAAGGAAGAAGTAACAGTGTTTGTAGAAAACACGATGGATGAAGAAAAGTTTGCATAAAAAGAATTGAAGAAGAAATATTATAAAGCTCTCTTTATAATTCATCAATGTGTTGATCCAAACAATTTTGAAAAACTGAGTGATGTTGAATCAGCGAAAGAAGCATAAGAATTTTGGGTGAAATTGTTCGGAGGCACTGAGAAGGTGAAAGATGTGAGGTTACAAAATCAAAAAAGAACGTATGAATTGCTTTAGATGGAAGAAAGGGAAATCGTAATTGATTTTTCATTAGGGTTACGAAACTGGTGAATCAAATCAAGGTATGTGGAGAAGCCCTGACGTCAAGATCAATTGTTGCAAAGATCTTGAGGTCATTGGCTCAAAATTCTGACCACGTGGTAGTAGCCATAAAAGAGTCAAAAGATTTGTCAACATTGACAAAGGAAGAACTTCAAGGGACACTTGAATCTCATGAACAAAAAATGACTGAAAGAGTTGCAAGCAATTCGAAGAGTGATATGGCGTTGTAGGCAAAATCAACAAGAGAAAAGAAACGCAAATGGAAGTGGTTCGACAACAAAGGTAGAGGAGGATACAACAATTTGACTGGTAGAGGAAACCAACAAGAAGGGAATGCATCCAACCAGAGAAGACCTTCATACCAAAGTAACCATAGAGGTGGTGTCAGAGGTAAAGGAAGAGGTGGTGGTCGAAAACTTGACAAACATTACATTCAGTGTTTCAACTGTCAGAAGTATGGTCACTTCTCTAGTGATTTCCCTAAAAAAAATAATCAAGATAATGATGCAAATATGGCAAAGCATGAAGAAGAAGAGATTCTAATTATGGTTACAACAAGAGATGAAGAAATATCCAAGGACTAATGATACTTGGACTCAAGATGCTCATTACACATGACTGGTAGGAATGATTGGTTTGTCGATATAAAACCTTCAATGAAGAACATGGTAAAATTTACAAATGACAATATTCTAGCAGCTGAAGGTATTGATGATGTTCTAATTATAAGGAAAGATGGAAAAAAGTTAGTAATTTCTAATGTGCATATACCATGCATAAAAAGTAACTTTCTCAGCATAGGGCGGTTGGTAAAAAAGAACTACAAAGTGTTGATCAAAAACAATATGATAAGAGTTATTGATTCAAGTGGAAGGTTAATATTGAAGGCTCCCATGTCTCAGAATAAAATCTTTAAGATTGAACTTCATATGATGGAAAACAAGTGTCTTGCAACCGCAACTAGCAGAGATGGATGAATATGACACTATAGACTTGGCCATCTCAACTTCAAAGATATCAAAGATTTGAAAAGAAGAAATATGGTTTCAGGGTTACCAGAAATCAACATTCCAAATGAAATATGTAAAGAGTGTGTGCAGGCAAAGAAAACAAGAGTAGCTTCAGCAAGGATGTAGGAAGCAAGTCGAAAGCAATTCTTGAAATCATATACTCTGATGTGTGTGGTCTTATTCAGGTGTATTCGATTGGAGGTAACATATACTTTGTCATATTCATAGATGATTTCAGTAGAAAATTATGGACTTATCTGATCAAGAATAAAAGTGAAGTTATCGAGGTATTTTCCAAGTTTAAATCTATGGTCGAAAGACAAAGTGGTCGAAAGCTCAAAATTCCGAGGACTAGTGGTGGTGAAGAATACGTGTCGAAAGGCTTTGACATATTATGTGAGAAAGAAAGGATTGCGTATAAGGTAGTGCCACCCTACACTCTACAACATAATGGAACTGAAAAAAGAAATAAAATAACCTTCATGAATATGGTGAGAATTATGTTGAAAGGAAAGCATTTATCCAAGGAATTATGGAGAAAAGAAGTGTCGGCTGCAACATATGTACTGAACAAAAGTTTGACGAAAAGGCTAGAAAGAATCACGCCAGAAGAATGTCAGTCTAGTGGCAAGCCTAACTTGAGTTATCAGAAAGTTTTTGGATCTATAGCACATAGACATGCACTTTATCATTTAAGAAGAAAACATGATGACAAGTTGAGTCAAATGATCCTAATTGGATATCATTTGACTGGAGGATACAAGTCGTTCAACCCAGTGAATAACCAAGTATGATTAGCAAGGATGTGTTCAAAGATGAGCTTAAGAAATGGGATTGGATAAAAAATGTAAAGAAGGATTCAGTGAGAATATTATGTGAAGAACCAACAAGTGAAGTCGAAAGAGAAGTTCGACAAGAAGAAGTCAGAGGTTAATCAAGCATAAGCCGACCTCAAAGAACGAGTCACATGCCTACAAGGTTGCAAGAATGTGTGATTACATCAGATGATGTGGTTGGTGATGAAGGTGAGTTGATACACTATGCTTTATATTTAGATGTTGAACTAGTCAACGCGGTTAAGGCATTGAAAGATTCGAAGTGGAAGAAAGCAATGAATGAGGAACTAGAGTCCATCGAAGTCAACAACCATTGGTCACTTGTCGAGTTTCCTCATGGAAAGAAGGCCCTCGATGTGAAGTAGGTATACAAGATGAAGTTGAATCCCAAATGAGAAGTAACTCAACACAAGGCAAGACATGTGGTGAAGGATTTCTTCAGAAAGAAGGAATCAACTTCGATGAAGTTTTTGCATCTATTTCTAGGGTCGAAACAATAAAGTTGGTTGTTTGTCTAGAAAACATGAACAAATGGAATATGTGTCAGATGGATGTGAAATGTGAATTCCTGAATGGCCCCTTAGATGAAGAAGTTTATGTTGCACAACCAGTTGGTTTGTGAAACAAGGCAAAGAAAGTAAGGTATACAGGCTACATAAAGCTCTGTATGGACTTAAGCAAGATCCAAGAGCTTGGAATAAGAAGATAGATAAATTTATAAGGGAGAAGGAATTTGTAAAGTGCACAACTGAGCATGGAGTATATGTTAGAAGAAGTAATTACTTATACTATGTCTCTATGTCGATGACCTGTTAATAACAGGTAGCTGCAAGAAAGAGATCAAAGACTTCAAAGGTGATCTTAGCAAGGAGTTAGAAATGTCTGATCTAGGAAATATTTCACACTTCCTTGGCATCAAATTCTACAAGAGTAGTAGATGCTTAATGATGCATCAAAAAATATATGCAAGAGAGGTACTCAAGAGATTTGAGATGGAAGACTACAATGAACCAAGAGTACAACTGTCAAAAGACTCAAAGGAAGATGATGTTAACCCAACACAGTACAGAAGACTAATTGGATCGTTAAGATACCTTTATATCACAAGGCCTGACTTGGCATACGATGTAGGTATGGTGAGTAGATTGATATAAAATAATGGAATTTTATTTCCTACAGTCGATGAAGGAAAAGAATGCAAACTCGTGGGTTACACCGACTCAAGTTGGTGTAATGATGTTGAGGATAGAAAATCCACAACTGGTTATGTGTTTATATTAGGTGGTGCACTAGTTGCTTGGAGTTCAAGAAAGGAACAAGTAGTAGCATTGTCATCATGTGAAGCAAAATCCGTAGTTTCTTCTCTTTGTGAATGTCAAGCAACTTGGATGATTAATTTGGTCGAAGAAATTTCACGGAAGGATTATA